GGGGGGGGGGTCCACCCCTGGGCCCCCCCCCCCCCCATCCCGTTAGGTCAGGCCTCCCTTTAGCTTACAGTTGCTTCCCCCCCCCATCAGCCTAGTCTGCCCCACGGAGATGAACGCTGCCCCCTCCCCATCTCCTTTGCACAGCTTCTGTGACTGCACAGAGCCTTTTGAGGCAGAGAATTCTATCCGCTGTGTTGAAGAGGGTGCATGTCCCTGAGTGCTTTGTTGCTGGAGAGCCCCTGAAGGAGTCATCTTTTTGCATGGCTGACGGATCTGCTTTTCGCGTTCCTTGGCTGGGCGTGCGGCCGGTGTTCTCACCTGCCCTTCTTTCTCCGTGGGGCAGGATGGTTCAGAAGAGGGGCACCGTGGGAAAGCCAGACCAGAAGGACCTGAATGAAAACATGGCTGCCACCCAGGCCCTTTCCCACATGATTACAGGCTGCAAGAAGCTGTTCCAGGTATGGCTGGGCTCGGCCCCTTCCCACTCGGTGGCTCTGAGGGCGGCTCCCCCTCTCTGCAGGAAGCCTGCCCGCTTACCCGGCACTTGGGGCAGCGCTGAGGCAGTGAAAGGGGACTTGCAGCGGAAAGGCTGCACTCTTGATGGGAGGCTGCTCCGAGGAGGAAGGCCTTTCCTGGGTCTTCAGATACTCTGCATGAGACAAATGTAGAATCCTGCACCAAAAATGTTGCATTCTGTGGTCTCTCCAGGCTGAGCAAGTGGCCACGATGCGAAATGCTCCATTGCCTTGTGTGCAGCAGCTGGTTCCGAGCCAGGCTTGTTGGGCTCCCGCTGGGCTTCCTGGGAGGGGGGAGGTGCTGGTGATTCTGGCAGGCGGAATGAGTCTGCTGCCCCCGGGCACTGTGCTTCTTCCCCAGGTCCCCCAGGACATGATGCTTCGGATGTACAGCTCCTGCGTGTCAGCCGACGCTCACCCCGCACTCTCCGTATCGGAGCTGATGAGCCGGCACCTGTCGTGGGCGGGGACGGACTCCCCAGCAGACCTGGAGGCCAGCGTCCAGAGCCTGCTGAAGGAGGCCTCGGAGCGTTTCAAGGGCTGGCTCAGTGCCCCCGGGCCCCAGAACACAGAGATGTCAAGCAAGAAGGTAAGAGGAGGGAGGGGAGACACTCGTCTCCAGGCACGCCCGAGGCTTGTGTCTTACGGCTGCTTCGGTGCACTTCAGGCAAAGATGCCGTCCGATGTGGCGGTTGTGCTTAGGTGAGTTTGTTGCTGACCCGTCTGGCGCCCATGCACCGAGAAGCTGGGCTTTGCCCCAGCTTTGCTGGTAGATCCAGGGCAAAGCATTGGCCCCGAGGCTCTTGGGAATGCTTCGGTACTTGGGCACCAGGAGTCTGTGGCTGAGGCATGTTACTTTTACAACATATTTTATTAGGTTTTGCCTTCGTAACATTATAACATACATAAACACGTTGGTGTATTAAGTACATAAAGATTGTAAAATGGTATTGTTTTGGAAGTATGCTATAAAGGGTGAGTAGATATCTACATAGATTTATGCAATGATATATACAGGATACAATTGTTGACTTACAGCTTACAACAGTTATAACTTCAGTGGATAGTTGGTGTTACAGTAAACACATACAAAACATATTTAGAAGCAATATTTGTTTACACGTTACCAGAGATGAAAAGTATCAATTTCCTTTGGGATATCATCGAATTGATGTAAATATTCCAAGATAGGGAACCATACAGCAATAAAAGAAGATTGGACCGGAATCTTGTCAAGCCGCGTAAGGTTATCCGAGAGTTTAGCCATAATATATAAATCCCACAGTTTCTTGCGCCAAAGCGAAATTGTGGGTGTCATTGTTGTTTTCCAGTGGGATGCAATGACAGTTTTGGCTGCAAATAGCAGGATGGAAACCCTCTCCACCACTGAAGGAGCAGAGTCCTGAGCTACCCAACTGTTCAAAAATAAATTTTCCGGCGTGGGAGTGATGACTAAGTAATCAATGCTTTTGATTTGAGACATAATGCTTTCCCAAAAGGGAAGAATTTTTGGGCAAGTTACCCAGCAATGCAAGTAGGTGCCTTTAGTGCCACAGTTTTTCCAACAATTTGGGCTATAAGAATGTGTCATTTGTGCCAGTTTACTGGGTGTAAGGTACCAGTGTGCTAAGATTTTGAATGATTGTAACTTCATTGAGGAAATTTTAGTTTTGAATGGTGGTGTGTTCCATATGTTGTGCCATGTATCATTCGTTAATTGTACGTTACAGTCCCTGTGCCAAAGTGATTGGTATGATGGTGGATATTCATGATCCACTGAGATCAAAGTTTTGTAGGCTTTGGAAATTAGGCCTTTAGCCGATGTTTTAGCTGCCCTAATGATGTTTTCGAAAGGGCTAAGAGGTTGTTTAACTAGAGATTCAAGGTTGAGTTGTTTGACAAGGTTGGCAATTTGAAAGTATTGAAACCATGGTACTTTGCTTTTGATGATTGTTTCTAGATTAGATTTTGGTAATAAAAGGTTCCTGTGTAAAAGATCACGTAAAGTGATAATTCCCGCTGCTGACCATTCCTTATAGCTAGAGGAAAGTATGCCCGGTAGGCATGTTACTTTTAGCCATGGTCTGTGGTCAGTGCAGTGAAGCCTGAGCAGCTGCCGGGGAGAAGAGCAGCCCTTGGGGGAGGTGGTTGGGGGCTCCGTCTCCATGCAGAGCACTGGGAGGTCTACCTTGGGCCGGTGAAGAACAGGCACAGAGTGCCTGCAGAAACCTTCTCATGTAACACCTTTTGAGAGCGAGGCTCACCACTGAGGCGTTCACGAGAGGCGCTTTCCAGGGGGGCCCTGCAGCTGCTGGGCTGCAGCTCCTGCCCAAGAGGGATGCTCTGTCCACAGCAGGGATCCTGTGTCTCCCCTCCTTGTCTCCCCAGGCAGGTGACGGATATCCTTTGCGGGTGTGGAAAGTGTCCACTGTGGTGGAAGCGCCTCCGCAGGCAGTGCTCCGGCGGGTTCTTCGGGAGCGGCACCTTTGGGATGAAGACTTGTTGCAGGGGAGAGTGATGGAGGCCCTGGGCCAGAACACGGAGGTGTATCACCACGTAGCGGACAGCATGGGCCCCCACCCTCGCCGGGAGTTCGTGGTGCTTCGGTGAGAGCCGGAAGCCTTCCGGTCCCTCTGCTGCCTGCCCTTTGGAAGCCTTTCCTGCCCAGAGTGGACTCCCCTCGTTTATCCTTTCTTCTGCTGTGAGCTGAAGATAGTTCTGATGAAATCATCTCTATCGTGGTGTCCTTGCCCCTTTTCTAAACAGCTAATTTGGGCTTTAATGTTTGAAAGTCAACACTAATCCCTGCTTAGCTGAAGGGGGTGCAGCTGTCTTCCTACCTGGTCCTATAATAATATTTGGTAACTGGACTAACTAATGAAATATGCTTGTGCCACCATTGCTCTTGAGTGTTCTGTGTGAAAAGCAGTTGTGTGACAGTAATAGGCACCTATGAGATAGTGCCAGTGGGGTCAGTTACATGAGGAGTCAGGTCTGAACACATTTTTCACTTCTTCAAAGGGTTTTTGAATACTTTCTGTGATAAGCAGATCTCTGCTCTACTGCATCTACTCAACAGTAGAAAAGAGCAAGAATCCAGGAGCACCTTAAAGACTAACAAAATATGTAGCAGGGTAGGAGTCACTGCTCACTTCTTCAGATCCTGCTGGAATGGGAGTCCATCCGTCCTATTTAGTGGAAAGTGGAGTGGTTTCAGATGCCTAATGAGATTAGCAGGCAAATGACAATAGCAAGTGAATGACAATAGTAGGTATGATTGGATTTAGATGAGATATGCGTGGAGAATATAATAGGTGTGGAGAAATCAGCATTGGTAATGAGACAGGAAACCTAGGTCTCGATTCAGTCCAGGTGGATGCATTGTCTTGAGTTTCATTATCAGTTGCAATTCAGCAGTCTCTCTTTCAAATCTCCCTTTGGAATTCCTTTGTAACAGAACTTCTACTTTTAGGTCAGTGACTGAATGTCCTTGAAGTTTAGAATGTCCCCCCACTGGTTTTTGAATGTTGTGGTTTCTGATGTCAGTCTTATGTCCATTTATTCTTTGTTGAAGCAACTGGCCTGTTTGTCCAATGCAGAGGGTGGGAGGGCATTGCTGACACCTGACGGCGTAAGCCACATTAGTGGATGAGCAGGGGTAGGAACCCCTGTGAGAGCAAAGCTGGCATCTTGGTTTGTTGCAGGCCTTGGTACCAGAGTCCATGTTACTCTTTTAAGTAGTCTATCATTGCGGGTGAGAAGCTGTTTTAGGTTAAGGAAGCAAGGAAAGGTCGCCCCCTCCCCCCTGTGCCTGTGTGAGGGAAGTGTCACTCTCCAGCATGGGTTGTGGGTCATTTATAATGTCTTGAACTGGTTTGAGCTGTAGGTGACCACCAGTGGTCTTCTGTTGTTATTCTCCTTGGGCTTGTCTTGTAGCAAGATGTCCCTGGGTATCATTCTGGGTTCTCCAATCACTGGTGGTCACCCACAACTCACAACTCAAGCCAGTTCAACGCACCCTCTACATTGGACAAACAGGCCAGTCCCGTCCCCCCCCTCCCCCCCGTATAATGAAATTTGTTAATTATCCTTATTCTTGGGAAAGTGTGACCCCTTGCTGGTCCTGAGATGGTGCATGTCTGTTCAGCGTGCTTGTTCCAAGGGGCAAGCAGGCTTTCCTCCCGTAGTCGAGGCTTCTCTTCCTTCCGTTCGGTGTGGTCCCTGGCCAGGGCAGGGGCGGGCTGGCCAGCTGGCTGGCTGGCTGGGGCCACCAGGAGGGAACCTGCTGCTCCTGAATGGTGGGCAAGAGCCACGGGACTCTGTGCAGGCTTCCCTCCCAGTGAGGCTTTCCCCTGCTCCCATTGTGCTGTCTCCTCGGAAAGGGGGGGGGGAGGATGCTTCTGGCTGCTTCTTCACTTCACGCCCTGTGCTTTCTCCTGAGATCCGGCTGCGGTCCCTCTGGACTGGCTGTTGCTTGATTTGGAATGGCTTGTTGGAAAAATGACAGATGTTCTGCCTGTTCAGAGCTTCTGAATGTAAAGCCATCAGTTGGAATTGCCAAAATAAATTCAGTGCCTGGGAGCAGTGACCTCAGCCGCCTCCGTAACAGCAGGAACCGCTTCTGCCCTGCCCTGCCCTGCCCTGCCCTGCCCTGCCCTGCCCTCCCCTC